CCCATTCCCCACCCCTCTGCACTGATGTAGTGGAGGAGACAGAAAACCTGTGAATGAGGAGTGAAGTTGATTCTAAGAAGTGGAGGGGGAAGGCAAGGGGATTCAGTTTTGTCTTTGTTCTTCATCATCCTTCTCTATTTTCAGTAGGCAAATAAATTAAATTTGTTCTCCCATTGTCTAGTCTGTTTTGTCCATTTGAGTATATGGTGGGTGATACCCCTGCCTTTATCCCAATCCATGGGCATTGCCATCCTATTTTCCTCCCCTTCCCTGCCTGTGGGTGAGAGTGAAGGAGCAGCTGGGTGCAGGTCTGGCTGCTATCCAAGGTCAGCCCTCCAGAGCAGGCCACCTCTAAATCAAATAATTCCAGCATGAACAGAGCAGAACCTCAACTGGTCACTGCTGTCACCAGTCCAGGTCCAGAGGCAGATCTTAAGCATCTCATCTGGACACATTTCCCCAGTCAAGGGCCTTGCAAGGACAGGTACCACCACATCTCCCTTCCTTCCCTGCAGTGCCACAGCTTTTCTCACTCCATCCCTGCATATCCAAAACACATTCCTGGCTGCTCCCCAGATCACCTGTCCCTGCTCCCATTGGCTCTGAAATTCCTTCTTATCTTCAGTTTGAGGAGCAGATGCTTGCTCAGYTTTGCAGCCCCCTAAACTCTGGGATGAAAGAGGACAGTGACTCCCTGACTGTGCTTTCCTGAGCTCACACCCTGCTCTCTGTGAGCACCACATGTGGCCAAGGGCAAGGAGGAATTAATGCAGCAAAACTGAGCAGAAAATGAAACACAAGCAGTGYAGAGAGATGGACAAAACCAGGCCATGTCTAATGCAAGTACTACAGGGACTCCACAATGAAAATCCAATTTCCCAGGCTGTCAGTTAGGATAGAGACAATGGCAAATTTCCCTCTGTGGGAGTTTTTCTCAGAGCATTCCTCTCCAGCTGTGAATGACTGGAATATTGTGTATAGTTTTGCYCACCACAATGTAAGAAAGATATAAAAGTCTTGGAGAGGACCCAAAGGAAGGCAAGAAACAACTGCACATTGMACTTACAACATCCTGGTGAGGAGGGACACTCACTGATCTCTTCTCTGTGGTGACCAGTGACAGAATCAGGGGGAATGGCCTGGAGCTGTTTCAGGGGAGATTCAGTCTGGATATCAGGAAAAGGTTCTTCACCCAGAGGATGGTTGGGCTCTGGAACATGCTTCCCCACAAACGGTCACAGCACAAAGTCAAACAGAGTTCAATAAATATTTAGACAATCCTCCTGGGCACAAGGTGCAGAGCAGGGCCAGGAGTTGGACTTGATGATCCCTGTAAGTCCCTTCCAACTCAGCTGATTCCGGGATTCTGGGATTCTGGGATTCTCTGAACATGCTTGTGCATCGGAGCTGAAATACAGGAGGAGTGGATTTGGACAGAATTTAGGCAACTAAGAGCCTAACTAGCTGAATACGGATAATCATCTGGAGTTCCCTGTGCCATAAAAAGAGGATGAAACAGATCCTGGAAAGCAAAAATTTTCGGCCTGAACCAGGTACTGATGGCAGCAATTGAGTATCTGATGTGTGTGATGTGACTGAGATCCCAGTACACCTCTGTGTCCATCCAGATGGAGAAACACGAGGGCCTGGTGCCATCAGAGATGCACAAGGGAATCCAAAATACACACATTGGCTGAATGACACAAAACCTTGCAGAATCCTTCATTCCTTCATCTTCTCATGTGGTGCCAGATGGGATGAATTTGAACTAAAGGTAGACAGCTGTGTTTCAAGCACCTGATCCATATCTTCATGCTTTGAAAACCCAGCATTGGACACACCAATTTATACCCATGGTTTTTATAAGGTACCACATTCTCCATGAAGAGCTCGGCCCAAGTCCCAACCACAGCATGATCCTCTGCATGTAACATTTTCATTTCAGGCTCCTGTACAAAGCACAGTCCCAGCACAGATACTTATTCTCCAGACATGTTGAAATAGAAATATTTTCCATTTTCCTCACAGAAATATGCAAAGAGAGAAAAAGAAGCAAACAAACTACCACCTGCCCTACAGTGTGTTTTCTGTTGTCTCAGCAAAACCAGGAGAATCACACATCAAAGCATAAAGCAGAGAACACACAATATAGGGAAATGTAATTTTTCTTAAGGAATCTCTCTGCATGCTGTCTATTTCAAAAATTAGGAAAAAAATAATATTTTTGAATGAGTGCATTCAAAACTAACTGATCCATTGAAGGTAAGGGAAAAAGGATCCAGGTCCTGAAGCCTGACACTGATAAACACGGGTCACTCACAAAACCGCAACACTCTCCACTGCAGAAAAACATCTCTGCTCTTTGTGTCACCCAACACAGCCCCACTGAGCCAACATTCAAATAGTCAAGAGTGACACCGGCCCCGGGTAAGGGGATACCCAGCACATTTCCATCCCTGCACCTGCCCTGCTCCCCACAGCAGCCACCAAAATCCCCCCCAGCAGCAGCAGCTCTATAAAGCTCCTCTTGCCATCCCTCACACTCAGACAACAGCAGCCACTGCCCTGCCTTAGGCAMTGCTGCCACAGCCCCCTTGGCCAGCACAGCTCTGCTCCCCAGCTCGCAGCATGGAAGATTCTCACTCTCCACAGCAGTACACTGTCACTTCAGATGGAGCCATGTTTGTGGCCATCATCACCGTGGAGACATTTGCTGGCATGTGGATAAACGCTTTCATTGTTTGTGTGATCAGCATTGCCTGGGTCAAGAAGAAAACCTTGAACTCTAATGAGAAGATCTTGCTGCTTCTGGGATGTTCCAGGTTTTACTTTTTGTGCTTCTCATGGATACATTCTTTTCTTTCAACAATTTATCCTTATTATCTTCTGGTTCATCCCATAATTCAACTACTTCTAGGTGCTTCTAGCATTTTTAATTGTTCCAACTTATGGATTTCTGCCTGTCTCTGTGTTTTTTATTGTATAAAAATTGCCAATGTAAGGAAGTACTTCTTCATCTACCTGAAAGTAAATATTAACAGAATTTTGCCATGGCTTTTGTTGGGATCAGAGATTTTCTCCCTGGTTATAGGAATTTTTACCTATAACATTATTGATAAAGCTGTTTGTGAAAACATCAATTTCACCTGTCAAGGAATAGTTTGGAAAGCTAATATCCGAATACAGGAACATTTTTACCCTCTTTATTTTCTCACTGGCTTTGTATATACCATTTCATTCATGGCAGTCATCTTTTCCGCTGTTTTCCTTCTCGTTTCTCTCTGGAGACACAAACACAAAATGCAGACAAACTCCATGAGCAGCCTCAGCATGGATGCCCACATCAAAGCCATGAAATCTATTCTCTCCTTCTTAGTAATGTACTGCATAAACTTTATGTCTTTGATCTTAACTCTAATTAATTCAACAAATAACAAAACTCATTTGATGTTTCTTATTTACTTAATTCTCTATGCGTTTCCAGGTGTTCATTCCATTATTGTGATTCTCAGCAATCCCAGTCTGGAAAAGACACTGTATAGGATTCTATCCTGTGTCAAGTGCAAGGTTTGCATGAGGTAGAAACTGTGATAAAGCTGGAGCCCATGCAAAATTTTGATATTTCTTTTTAGAAAACAAGTCAATTCATGTCCATTGCAACTCTCCAGGCAACGTAGATCATAGACATGTTCACCTTAGATCTTAAGAATATATATTTAAAATTCCTTCAACTAATATTATTTAAGTAAAATAAATTATTCTATGCACTTACTTTAATTAGATCTTGGAGCAAAATTATTGTTCATAATAAACACATTAAACCTTGAATCAATTGAACTAAACAACAGGTTTATCTCTATTTTGGTTTAGCTTCCCTTCTGCTGTGGCTTTGTGCTGTGTGATATTATGGGCTGTATCACTGTCWGGCAGGGGTTGGTAACTCTGTGTGAACACACTGACCCCAGTCACTCACCAGAGGTGGTCATTGTTGCACAAACAGTGAGGCAGGAACAGCCCCAGGGTGCTCAGGGGGTGCAGAGCCCTCTTCCCACCCCAGCCCTGCGTGTCCTCCCTGCCCCCGGCCTGCAAGGACAGCATTCCCTGCTCTGGCCTGCTTTGACTTGGTGATGACATTGGCTTTTCCCACTGGACTCTGGCTCAGTAAAACCCCTGGGAATGTGGGTTTTGTGCAATGTGCAGTGTGGAATAAAGTCCTATCTTCATCTCACAGTGACCCATGGGCAGATGCATGGTTGCCTGGGCCAGGTGCTGCAGCCGGGGGCCTGTGGGGCCTCAGTGAGGCCAGGTCAAGGCTGTCCCATGCTGGGAAAAGCCAGTCCTAGGCTCTCTAGTGGACTTGCCCAAGGACACTGCTCAGCCCATCAGCGACAGTTGTGTCTCCTCTGGGAAAAGAGAAGACCTGAAGAACTGCAAGCCATGGGAGGGACCTGCTGGAACAAGTGGAGCTGTTGGACGAGTGGAGGAGACAACTTGTTATGAACTGCCTGTAACCCACATTCCCTGTCCTCCTGTGTTGCTGAGGGAGAAGAGGAGGTAGAGAATCTGAGAATGAGTTAAATTGAGTCTGGGATCATTGGGAGGTGGAGATAAGATATTCTAGTTTTGTGCTTGTTCCTACATCATCCTACTATGTTTTCAATAGGCAATAAATTAAATTGGTTTTCTCCATGTTGAGTCGGTTTTGTCTGTGAGAGTAACTGTGAGTGATCTCCCTGTCTTTATCTTTACTCATGAGCAATTCCATGTTTTTTGCAGCCCTCTGTTGTACAGAGTGAAGCATTGACTGAGTGGGGCTCTTAGAGCTGCCCAAGGTCCACCCATCAGTACAGGGCCTGCAAATGTGAAACAGTTGCAGTGTGGAAGAATATATTCAGTGCAGACAGCTCAGTGAGCAGCTGCAGAAAAACTGCAGGTTGTGGGGAATTGCTGGGAGTCCCAAGCATGGTGCCACCCCTTGCACAACAAAGGGCACAGGGACTTGTGTCACCAGGCAGTGACTGGACACTTAGACACCCTAATCATCATGTGCATAGACTGGAGGGACACAAAAACCCAGGGATTCCGTTGTTTGAGGTACCTCCTCAGAGGCACCCAGCTGGAGCTGCTTCTCAGTTACTGTGCCATGATTAAACTGCTTTCAAGATCCAAACATCTGAGGCTCTGCTATGGGAAATTCAGGGCCCAGCTGGTGAGGAAACCTGAACTGGCTCTGTGAGTGTGGTGTGTATGGGCAGTGAAGTGGGGCACCTGACCATTCTGAAGGGGCTTAGGACCCAGTAGTGAGGGTCTCTGGTGGGGGGTGTGACTGCCAGAAGAACTCCTGGTTGGTGAGATGAGGGAAGTTTCCTTCACACCAACATGAACAGAGCAGAAACTGAGCTGGTCATTTATTTCAGCAGCTCATGATCAGAGGGACATTCTACATCATGTCCAGTGCCAGGTATGCATTTCTCAGAATAGCATCTACAAAAAGCTTCCTCCCTGCTTCTGAAGTGAGACAGACAACCATTCAGGCCAGAGCAACCTCTCAACCACAGCAATAGCTCTTCTTCCAAAGACCACACACACTATCAGGCTGCCTCAACAACAAAACCAAACTCTCCTTAAACAGCAACAGCCCAGAAAAAAGCAAACAAATAATTAATGCCAATTGATAACACCCCAGCCCTCCTACCGTAGCTAGGAACAGTTTGGAGTTGAATTAATAATTCCATAACAAGTTCATAACATCTGCCCTGAGGAGATTTTGTTTCCTAGGATTGTATCCCCAAAGAATTGTGGCCTTCTGGGCATTGAAGTTCAGTAATGGATGGAATGGATTTGCTGGGAATTGCCTTACCGGTTAACCAATAAAGGCTGGAATTTCCAATAATAAAGACAAGGATTCTGAACAGGAAAGAGGTTCAGCGACAAACTCAGAGGGAAGCAATGCAGTCTATGTGTGATGTCTTTCAGCTCCCACCACAGCTGTGTGTCCATCCAGATGCAGAAACTCAGGGGTCTGATGCATTGTGAGATACACAGAGGCATCCAAAAATCCACACTTAGCCGGTAGATACAAAGTTCCAGATAAACCTTTCCCTTCTCGTGTGGTGCCAGAGTGGATGGATTTGAACTAAAAGCAGATACCTGTGTTTCAAGCACCTGACCCATATCTTCATGCTTTGAAAACCCAGCCTTGGAGACTCTGATTGACACATACTAATTTTTTTTAAGGTACCACATCCTGCATGCAGAGCTGCATGAGCCCAAGCCACAGCCACAGTGTGGTCCTGGTGTTCTAACATTTTGTCATTGTTCAGGGCAGAACAGAGTTAATTTTTGCAGTAGGCTGGAGAGGACAGGGTCAGTACTCAGGGTTATTCTATAGCACCTGACATCATTGATGGGGCAAGGAGAAGGGACGGTCTTCTGGGGAGAAGGGGTCCCTACCCATATGTTATTTGGGACTTACTACCATGTGAATCATATCTTTTCTTGCAATCTCTGACTCCGGTATTGAGGCTGTTACTGTCAATTTTCCTTCACTCATTACTGTTTCCACTAAATTATTCTGACCTTAACCCTGATCATTGCTTTTGTCCTCTCCAGTCTGCCCAGGGGAGAAGGAAAGTGGGGGTGTGAAAGAAAGTGGCACAGTGCTTTGGAGAGTCACAGCTGGGGCAAAGAACTGGGGAGGACCATGCTTAAACCAGGACATATATTCATTTAATGCCCCTATATGACCATTCTCCCAGCACAGACAGTTCAACTTCAAACCATTTGTAATAGAAATAACTTCAATTCTTCTCACCAATATGGAGAGAAAAAGAAATAAAAGAGCCATCAAATAAAACAAAAAAAAACCCACACCCCCGCACCTACCAGCCCTATAGTGTGTTTTCTGCTCTGCCAGCACAACCAGAGAGGAACCTCACACCAAAGCCTAAAGCAGACAATAGGCAGTAACAGGAAACAAAAACATTCTCAAGGCAATAATCTGCCCACCATCAATATAATAAATTAGCAAAAGAAATAATATTTTTGAATGAGCGTATCTAAAATTAACTTGGTCAGTGTAGACAAGAAAAAGACACAAGAACACAACTCCCTGAAGCCTGACACTGATCAAACATTGGTCACTCACAAAACCACCATACTCTCAACTGCAGGAAATCATCTCCGCCCGTTGTGTCATCCAACACAGCCCCACTAAGCCAACATTCAAATAGTCAAGAGTGACACCAGCCCCGGGTAAGGGGATACCCAGCACATTTCCATCCCTCCACCTGCCCTGCTCCCCACAGCAGCGCCACCAAAATCCCCCCCAGCAGCAGCAGCTCTATAAAGCTCCTCTTGCCATCCCTCACACTCAGACAACAGCAGCCACTGCCCTGCCTTAGGCACTGCTGCCACAGCCCCCTTG